GGGGGGGAGGGGGCGTGAGAGGAAACAGCGAATATACCACGAAAACCCTCACCTGTGACAAGAACAGGTAGACGTTCCACGACGTCGCCTTTTCCTGTGAGAGGGGGAATTTTCTTCCCGTCCATGTGAACTGTGAGGGGCACATCCGGGTGAAACTCACCCCGAATAGAAGCAGCAATCATTGCACGCACCTTTTTTCTTTTCCTTTGAATGCAGCTCCTACTCAGTTTTAGCTTAGTTAAATCTATGTTAGCGACCACGCTGACAGCTGACACGGTTCTGAAGGCGTCAGACGTAGAAATCTTGCCACGGTCAAGATTTATCATGAGTGTTTGGACTTCCTTATCAGCGGTGGAAACTTTCACTTTCAGTAATACTGCAATATCCTTCTTCAATGATTCATCAGGTACAAACGTAAGGTCTGTTTCAGAGTCAGATAGTGAACTGTCAGATTCTGTAAAACAAATTCGGGTATAAGTGAGGCACACTAAAAAAGACACACCGAGCGATGTGCCTAAAAGAAATTACCGCAGTGTTAAAAATGGCGCGCTTTAATGCAAGACACAGTGCGCACCGACATCGAGTCAAAGCGAAGTCGGTTCGTTATCGACGTCGTCGTTGTCTATATAACGTTTCAGAGATTCGATAACGAAACGCCTTCATTTTGAAGTCGTAAAAAACCTTTACGCACTGAGAATATTATTCTCTCCTCGCGTAGCGCTTACACGTGAAAAACGTACCAGTTTAAAGTTCCGGGGCGGATAAATGACGGTTCGCAGAAAATGTCGCAAACTGATCAGGCGAGTCCAAGCGTCAAGCGCAGCGCTTAGCACTGTCTTTGCACGAGCAGCGGTTCGTAAAAGTTACAAAACGGAAAAAACTGGAATCATAATTGCACGAAAAAAAACGTCTCCCCCCTCTCCCCCTCTCCCCTTTTCCCGCAGACTCCCTCGCGACGTCTCTAGTTCTGCACTGTCGCTATCACACTCAAATGTCACACCAGACACACGACTCACCACTCTCATCTGCAGACGCAGACTTATTAGCCAAAGCCACCCTCCGCCTGGAACTGGACCCATATGCATCATTTGCTGCCTTCCGTTTCTCGGCACGGACTAGGGGGCTGGTGTCAGCAGAACTGATGTCCATGACTTTTGCCAAATCCACTTGAAGAGCAGACAAATTCTTTTCAAATGTGGGTCCACGCTTTCTTGAACTTGATTTAAATAGCTTGTAGTATGTCTTGTACAAGGCCAAAATTTGTTTGGACACGTTGATCCACTTGATAGGTCTCCTACCCTGCGAATACCAGTGGTCCACGAGCAGCATGGCGGTTTCCCTAGCAGCTGTGTCCACTTCGTGGCCAAGATCACGCGTCTTGTTGAAAAACACACGACAAACATCTAATTTCGTTGGGAGGCATTTTGGGGGGAACTGTGCCTCCGTGTACGAAAAAACTTCTCGCCAAAAAGGCATCTGCAACAGCAGCGAGATATTGAATAACGTTACCATAGTAACAACCTGCATTGTACAGTGTGTGACAATACCTTCAAAAACTAACGAAGACGATCCGTCGCCCTGAGCGCCAACAGCTGTTGTGTCTGGTGCGGTGCGTCTCGTCTCGTCTACTGTCGACAGTGAGCGGGGCCGGGCCGGGCCGGGCGAGGCGGGCCAGCAGACCGAGCTGGACCGGCGTCGGTTCTCGCTCTCGTCACCTGTCGCCTGGCCTGCCTGTCGTCTGATATGTTTATCTCGTGAGGAACGCCGGCCCAGAGCAATGCGAGAGGTGCTAGAGTTCAAACCGCGCGCGCCGGGCCGGCCGCAGTCCCCCTCCGGCCTGGGCGCCTTCCCCGCCAGCGGTGCTTCCCCCACCACCGCTCAGCCAGGCAGCCGCCTGGCGCGCCGCGCCTCGCTTCAAACAGTGCGCGGGCCGCCCGCTGCATGTTTCGCATCTGAAAGGTCTCAGTGTGCCCTCGGTTTTCGTGCAATAAAAAAATAGGGGTCCGCCGGCATTATTTTCTGTAAACGGCGAGTGACGTCGGGCGCACGTTTAGGCCCCTGGACACGCCGCGTGTGTCGCGAGCTCGCATCCTTCATATCCGATACAAAGTAGGACCCATAGGGTAACACTCTCAGCCCGAGTCGTCCGCCCTGGCCCCAACGTGCGCCCAGGGCAGCGCCTAAAAGATGGAGTGCCTGTTTGGCGCCAAAGTTGGGCCAGACCGAAAATCGCGATGCGATCCGGGTAAACGTTGTCGCACAGGCCCCGGACTTTGCACACGGTCTTTTATAGGTGACATCTACCTTTTAGGCTCCGTACCTCGAAAACTTTTTTCGGGTGGGATGGGCTACTCTATGTGTTCATCTGTTCAGCCTGTACACGAGCGGCTCGGCGAGCGGGAGGCGCCGGAGGAGGACGAGCCCACCCCGGCGGCGCGAGGCCGCGGGCGTGGCCGTGGCTGCTGGCGCGGGCGCCGTTTCATTGGCCCCCCTCCTCAGCGCGGGGTAAGTCTCTCACCATCTCCTCCAGCGTGATGTACTTGGCACTGTCTAACTCTTTTCCTTACAGCCTGTTCACAGCCGCCTGGGTGAGCAATGGTACGGGGCCGGGCTGCGCCAGGCCGCCACTACCCGCCCCGGCCGCGCCACCTAGGACACCGCCCCCGAGCCCAAGCCCCTCATCAGCGCGGCGGCGATGAGGGGCGCCATCAGGCGCGCGGAGGCCGTAACGCGCCGCGCCGCCAAGCAAGCGGCCAGGGAAGCCACCGAGGCAGTGAGAGAGGCGGCGGAGGCCCCGGTGAGTACTTCTTCTTCGTCCTCATGCTTCTCTTTCATTTGATGTGACTTCTAACTTGGTCTTTTTGTTGTAGGTCGTCGTAGTGAGGCCGCCAGCCCCAGCCCCGGCCCCGTCGGCCCGTCCCTGCACCGCGCGGCTTGGGCGCTGCGCTAGAAGTCGTCGCCCCGCGCATGGCAGCCTCGCACTTCGCCGCCCCCGACGCCGAGGCCCCCGCAGCCGCCCAGGCTCCCGCCCCTGCTGCAGCAGCCGCCGAGGACGAGGTCCCTGACCGTACAACCCGCCGCCGCACCAGACCAGCTGTAAGAGTTCAACCCCTCTCCCCACAACCTGTCCCAAACCTTTGACTTTGACTAACTCTAGTTTTTATTCTGTACAGAACCCTGCTCCCAAGAAGTAAGGGGATGTGCCCCCCTCAGGGCAAGTGATCATTTTTTTTTTTAAATGTAGCGCCCACTGGGCAAGACTGATTTTTTTAATTAAAATTTAAATTTTGTACTTTTGTAACTTGTGTTTCTCTTATCACAACCTTTCAATCCATTTTATAATGCTGGTGCACTTTGCCGTTGGCATACTCAAGCTGACATGTTGATGTCGAACATTATCGAAGTTGAAGAAACGGGGCCAAGTCTGATATAAGATCTGGGGTAAATTAAATTCTTGAATTGATTAATATGGGCTTAAAAGCAGCACACACAGTTGGAGAATGTAGGGAAATACTGCTTGCTATGGATTTCAACTTGTAAAGTTGGGTTTTTGAGTGACTTACACAAATTTTAATACTTTGACTAAATCTTATGGTAGGGTAACATTCTAAACCACTATTGGCTTTGGATTTCAATTGATCTAAGTTATTTTAAGGTGTCACTACTTGTTGAGATAGGCCAACACCTCTGGAGTTGTGATTCTGAAACTTTTCCGAAGTTGAATAGCGGCCAAACACCATAACTAATTTCACTGGAGTTTCAACGGTTGAATTTAATTTTATTGTGCCAAAAGCAGGGGACTGACATGGAGAATGTAGGGAAATAACATATGATGTGGATTTTAGTCTAAAAACTTGGGTTTTTGAGTGATATACCTCAGAGTGGCCTTGGGCTTAATGCCCATGATCAAGATCATCAATTACTGATTTCTTTCTCATTTCTTTGTTTTAACATTTGAATTCATTATTATGGCCTTCAAAGCAGCCGATACACTTGGACATTGTATTGCATTATCACTTGTTGCCGAATTTAGCCTAAAATGTTGGGTTTTTGAGTGAAATACATACTGTATGATGGTGCTGCTGCTCTTCTTGTTGATCACTATTTTCTTTCTCATTTCTTTGTTTTAGCATTCGATTTCAATATTATGGTTTTAAAAGGAGGGGATGGACGTGGACTTTGTATAGAAATAGCATTTGATGGTGATTTTAACCTCATTACCTGACTTTTATGGTCATAAGCGTGCCTGTTTACCGTCGATTTTTGTTTTTGTTTACGTTTCCATTCGGGACTATCCTAAGTATTTGGTATTTCATTTGCTTTAGCTCTTGGATTCATTATCATGGTCTTAAAAGCACCCCACACACTTGAATAAGGAATGAAATTAACATTTTATGTGGATTTTAGTCTAAAAACTTGGGTTTTTGTGTGATTTACCTCAGAGTGGCCTTGGCAGCTTTCTTGGTATTCTGCTTGGTATTTCACTTGCTTTAGCTATTGGATTCATTATGATAACATTCAAAATCACTATTAGCTTTGGATTTCAATTCATCTAAGTTATTTTATGGTGTCTCTACATGTTGCGATAGGTTCACACCTCTGGATATGTGATTGTGAAACTTTTCCGAGACTGGATAGCGCTCAAATTCTGATAAGGGTAAATTATTCGCATGAGCTTAATTTTATTATGCCAAAAGTAGTGCATCGACGTGGAGATAATAAAGAAAAACCATTTGCATTGTATTTCAACTTGTTTATTCTTGTTTTTAGGTATATAGTCTGTTTGCCTCGCCAACTCTATGTAGACAGGTTCAACTCAAAGATTTTTCGGTTCTAATTGTGGATCAAGTTTGGATTTTGGAAACAACAACTCAGAAGTACTATTGATATTGATATTCAAAAGAAATGTGATTGGTTTTGGTCAAAACACATTCATTATTAATTTTTATTGGTTTTAAAGCTTTCATTTGTTTTTATTTGATTTTCACATTGATTTTTTTATTGTTTAATCATAGAGATGAGTGTCTCTTTGAGATAATCCGTTTGGTAACACAGCATTTCTTGTTTGAGAGACTCTGGGAATGGAATAGATGTCACGTCAAATGCTCTTGAAAGCAAATCGAACCATTCTTCTTCATTGAGGTATGGTATTTTGGCAGAGTTTCCGCCCCATCTCGGTAGACAGAAATATATGGTATGGACCATCAGATCGGTAAAGTTTGAACTTGCTACAACACACACTGTCTCACACTGTGATAGATAGTTGAATAGAATATCTTTAATTCTATGGACAAACTTCCACGTTGACTCTGCAAGATAAACCCTGCAGTTATCTTTCTCGATACACATGACTGTACAGTTGCCAATGACTTTCAGCGACACACTCAGAGTTCCCACTTTGATTGGCTCCATGTTAACTTGTGCGCTAAAGTGAACAAAGTTATTGATCTCGTCTGAAGTCAAATGTTTCAACTCTGACTGAGTGAAATTAATGCATTCTTTATAGGGTTGTTTGACCAAGGAATGAAAGGCTTGAACATCTTGGTATCAATTCCTACTCTGAGATATTTAGAGGCGTTTTTCACAAGGGGGAAATCCCTGTACAATGCTTCCATGGCGGGAAGGGTGGTGGGAGGCACAACTCCAAAGGTACCTTGAACTTTTGTCATTACGGTCGTGATAGAGTCAAAGTGATTAGAGCAAGTAGGTCATTGGTTTATGGTTCAATCTGATCAGCGCGAGCTAATTACTCTGTACAATACGTCAATACTCTCGAGCTGTTTTGGGTGATGCAGTACGCGTGGGGTAGTGACGGCCGGGGTAGCTGGGCCCCTGCGCCGGTAACTCCGTTCGGCAGGGGCCGGGCCTGCTTGGCCTGGCGGCGGCGATGGTCGGACCTGCGGCCCGACCATTTCTGTCACGCGATTTGCTGTAGAACATAATCGAATGATGTAACGGGCCTTCGGCCCGCAAAGCCCGTCGTCCTTAAAATTTGCCCCGTAAACACAAGAAAGGGATGTAACGGTGAAACACCGCGACTACAACCCACCCTTCTGCTAAGGAAACGTTTTTTGGGGTGGGGGGAGGGAGTTTCTTACCTCTTTTGCGGTTTTGGGCCTTCTTTTGCATTTAATTGTTCACTACAGCAATTTTTAACTTATTTTAGTCAAACAAGACCCTCTAGCGCCTGAACGGTTAGAGATAGAGCCGAACGGACGAAATTTTCGGCCGAAGGCCTCTACTTTGACTAGGTACCCCTTAGGAGACCATCCAATATTTTCGAAAATTAATAAATTTATTTTTGGGCAGCTTTTGTGAGAGAAACTCCTAGCGCCCAAACGGTAGAAGATAGAGCAAAACGGACGAAATTTTCGCCCAGAGCGCTCTACTTTTGGAAGTCACCCCTTAGGAGACCATCTAATATTTTCTAAAATTAATATGTTTATTTTTGGGCCACTTTCGTGATAGAAACTCCCTCCAGCGCCCAAACGGTGAGAGATAGAGCAAAACGGACAAAATTTTCGTCCCACGGCTCTACTTTGACGAGTTACCCCTTAGGAGATCATAAAAAAAAAAAAAATTCTGACTATTTTGACCTACCTTATTTCCTTTGATAC